GGAGGGAGCTGTCTAACCCCTCCCCCCGCTACCACAGTTTGAGCCACCCTTGCAGCGGGAAAATCCGGAGCCACCCCCGGTATAGCTCTGCTCCTCCACTATATCATCCGGCATCACCACAGGGCCACCCAATCCCTCCTAAGCACAATCAAGTCCCCCTTCTACGGGACCCAGTTCCACCCATTATGGATTCAAACTACATTGAAATATATAAAAGACTAAACTTATCTACCTTTACAGGGGTATCCTCATTCAAAAAAGGCGAGTATTGGTTAGCTGAGATAGAGAATGCCTTCACAATTCTTGGGGTGGCTCCTGAACAGAAGGTTGTACTTGCCACTTACATGCTCGTGGGAGAGGCAGGTCGCTGGTGGCAGCTCAAGCAGACCGCCCTGCTCGTTCCAGTCACTTGGGAATAGTTTTTGATGGCCTTCAATATAGAGTATCTCCCAGAGCACCTCCTAGAGCACCTCCAATATTTGAAGGAAATGAAGTCTACACACCTAGTCCAGGGTGATATAACTATGTCGGAGTATGCCCAAAAATTTTTAGAATTGGGCCGGTATTCCCCTGAGAGTATGATGGATGAAGACAGAAAGACAAAGAAGTTCAAGTGGGGCCTCTGTATTGAGATCATACAGCAGCTGTATGTATTTAAACTCAACACCTACTCAGCCATTCTGGCCAAGGCACAACTAGTGGAGACCAGTACCTACTACACCGTTTCAACAAAACAAAAAGCCTAAGTCAGTGACTTAGGCTCCTCATCAAATCTAGTAATAGGATGCGGTAGAACTTGTCAGCATTGAGGCAAGGATCATGGGGATCAACCCTACTATCGCCTCAACAATACCTGCCGCATATGTGGGAGTGCCCAACACTATGCGAAAGAGTGCCCGCAAAATCAGAATCAAGTCAAACCTCCTATCTATGGTAGAGCTTACAACCTCACCCAGCAGGATACTTAAGCAAACCTGGACGTGATACATGGTACGTACACTATCTGTAATCACCTTGTATATATTTTTATTGATACTGGTTATTTACATTCGTTTATCTCACATGCTTTTGCACAAAACTTGAATGTATTATCTGATAGACTTGATTTTGTGTTGATTGTGTCCACTCTTGAAGTGGGACACTACTAGGGGAGGTTCTATACAAAGCTTGTATTATAAACATAGCAGATAAGAAACTGAATGTGGACCTGATAGAGATTAAAACGGGAGATTTTAATGTAATTCTGGAAATGAATTAGTTAGCGGTGTGTCACGCCACTGTAGATTGTTTCCACAATAACTTCAACCCTCCTAACGAATAGTTATTTATAAATAAATAATTTTTTTTTTAATATTATTCTCTTATGGTAATTTTCTTATTACTTAGTGTTTTAACTTGGCTATCTTCTCTACATTAGGCAAACCTAAAAAAAAAATTTGCATTCAAGAGATCCTAGTAGTCCAAGACTTTCTGAATGTATTTTTTGATAAACTAGTCGGACTACCAGTGGACAGAGAAGTTAAGTTCAGCATAGATCTTTAACCTGACACCCAACTTATCTCGGTTGCCCTTTATTACATAAGTCGTGTTGAAATAGAAGAGTTAAAGAAACATATCAATGAATTGCAGGATAATGGGTTCATCCAATATAATGTGTCTCATTGGGGGTTGGAGTCACATTTGTAAGGAAAGGGGATGAGACATTGAGATTATGTATTAACTACAGGGAATTGAACAAAGTCATGATCAAGAACAAGTACTCCCTCCCTAGAATTGATGACCTTTTCGACTAGTTGCAGGGTGCTCAAGTCTTCTCCGAAATAAACTTGCATTCGAGTTATCATCAGGTAAAAATCAGGGCAGAGAAAATTCTCAAGATAGCTTTCGAAACTAGGTACGGACATTATGAGTTATTGGTCTTGTCATTTGAACTAACCAATGCACTAGCCATTTTTAGGGACTTGATGAATAGGATTTTTAGACAATTTTTGGATCAGTTCTTCATTGTGTTTATCAATAATATCTTGATCTATTTAAAGAGCAGAGAAGAATATGTTCACCACTTGACTCAGGTTTTGTAGGTTTTTAGGAAAAAGAAATTGTATGCAAAATTAAGCAAGTGTGGGTTCTGCCTCGAGCAGACTACCTTCCTAAGACACATCATATCAAGGAATGAAATATCAGTAAACCCCAAAAAAGTTGAGACAGTACTCAGTTGAGAGAAATTGACTTCGATTAAGGAGATTCGTAACTTTCTGGAAATGACAGGTTATTACTGTAAGTTTATGAAAGAGTTTTCTAATCTACCCGCTTCATTGACTCAACTTACAAATAAAAATGTCAAGTTTGAATGGAACGAGAATTGCGAAATGAGCTTTACAGAACGCAATAAGCGGTTGACTACTGCACCCTTGTCGGCTCTACCGAGTGGGATAGGTGGATACACATTGTATTTAAATTATTGAGAAAAAATAAAATAGGAATGAAATTGAAAATAATTTTGAAAAAAAATATGTGAAATTTGAATAAAGGGAGTTTTTTTTTTTTTTAAAAAAACTTGAAATAGGAGGTAAAATCGTTAAAAGAAAAAATTTGGTCATGTGAGACAGCTCAGTCAGTAGCTACGACAAACCAGAGCACACTGCGTGGCAAAACACGCTGACATCAGTGCCACACGGATGATCCGCATGCTTGGTGATCTAATAGTCCCGATCATGTCCGCGCGCATGGATGGCTCAGATGCATTTTCTTTTAAGGCTCGATCGAACGGAAGAGATCAATCACGATAAACGACTTAGATTCGCCCAAACAATCAGCCTAAACAAGCAACGATTGAACGACTCTCTTCGCTCCATGTCGATGCGAACGGATAGCCCAGATCAACGTGAGATGAGTGTTTAAACATTGCATCTTAGAGAACCCTAACCCAAACTGCACCTGTCCTCGCCAGAAAAGAAGAACCAGATGCCAGAGAAGAAGACCGACCCCCAGCCACCGTCGCACCGGAGCTACCATCAATCGTAAAAAAAAGATAAAAATTTCTCGTTTCTGCTCGGAATTCGATTTCGAATCTCTTTATGGCCATATCGGAGCAAAATGGACAATGAATGAGCCAAAAATCGCAGGCAAAGCCCGCGGAACCGCTACAGCTGAAATATTAAAACCTCTCCGATGAGCCCCTTCCCATTTTTTGTTTTTTATTTCACATAATTTTTTTATCATTGTGTTCATATTTCTTTTCTGTGTAGGTTAGCTGAAGGAGAAACTCCAGATACAAAGGAGAACCGATAGAGCTGCCGCACACGAAGACCTTCCCCGCCTGTAGGTTCGATTTTTTTTTTCTTGCCAACCGAAGTCCCCTTACGTATTTTTTTACAGGAATACGTGAAGGACCGGCCAAAACCAACCAAAATCGCTCAGGCCAAGGTGGACTGCCGCCATTGGCAGTGGAGTCGGCGCTGGAGTATGGCGCTGCCGTGGTGTCGGAACCTTAA